CTTGGTTCTCTCGAGAAGGGGGAACGAGTATTGTGTTAACCTGCCGTGCTCGCACCACAAGCTTCTTCACGTCAGTCAATGAAAACCATACTCTAGAGACTCTAAAATCATTCTCAAACCGAGATATGGTTATGTCCCCAAGGCGATTGGCGCGCCTTTTAGAGCACAGATCATCTCCCTATCAGCTGCTGCAGTATAATATTTGGCTTCAGATCTAGAGAAAAGATGACTTTACCTGAAGCGTAAGCAACTTACACAATACTCGTTCCCTCTTCTAGAGAGAACCGAGGTTACATTAGGTAACTGAGTACGTTTCTAAACGCTCAAGGCCAGGCCAGCCAATGTGCACGTTCAGTCCTACGAGCGTCTCGGAACACTGTCTTGTTTTATAGCAACAAGAGCTTCTGACGGCGACGTAGTGACTTTTACTTCGGAAGCGGGACTTATTCCGCCATATTGCATGTAGCACTTTTTCCCCATTCTAAGTGATACGAGTCTTTGTATATCTAAAGTCTTTGGTATATATCAGCCATCGGCCACTGTGGTTTCTAGATAAAGGTGTTGGAACCAGCAATCAAGGAACCCAGCTGGTAGCAAGATATGAGCCATCTCTTAGAGCCCCTGTAACCTTGTGCCTCTGAACAATTATTAAGAAAGCAGACATAACTTAAAAGGAAATGTCTCTTGACCATTTGTTTGTGTTTGTGTAGTTACTCTCTGGAGCACACTGAACAGTTTTTGCATGCTCTACTGGATGACGGGCCAGTCAAAAATGTAGTGGCTCCTGAACCTGCCCCTCAGCACAGTGGCACGCATAGAGCATCGAGCAAAGAGCGGGTGAGCACACTACATGTGACCATATGGCATACTGAAATTAAACAAAAACCTTGAGTTGATTGTTGACACTTTTTGCCTCTCTAAATCAGAGATGGAAACCGAGAGATGGGGAGGTGGAAGCAGTTCAATTCCAGGATTCAGAGGATCCGGAATATGAGGACTTTCGCACAGAGGCGACACTGCAGAGACGTCAGCAGATAGAATGTTTTAACAAGGCTGCTGAAGCCCATCGACAAGGACGCAAGGACGTGGCTAGTTTCTACTCACAACAGGTTAAAGAGATGAACATTATGATGTGTGCTGAAAAGCTGATTTAACAACAACAGCAGTTATGAGCAGCCGTGAACCAGTTTGAATAATGTTGTAAAATGAAAATTTTTGTATTTAATCTCATTTAAACTAAAATTAGTTTAAAACTTAAACACTTAATGACCCCTTTTTAAACAATGCATGTAGAGTGCATTGCTGTTCTTAGATCAGAACTCTTACGAAGTTTCCTTGCATTTGTGTATTTTTTTTTTATTTATCCTTTATTTAACCAGTTAAAAAATCCATTGAGATTAAAAATCTCTTTTGCAAGGGAGACCGGGGCAAGATAGGCAGCAAAATTACATTACATCACATCATTACATACATACAAAGACACACAAATGAAAGCCAATCATGCACTTAAAATGAAATCTCAATAAAAACATTGACATGTAAATGTAAATGCTTAGGGTCACATGCATGGAGAGAAGATGCATGAAGCGAACCACCGAGCAGCCATGCAGATATTTCAGCGAGTGAACGCTTCACTCCTGCCTCAGAATATTCTAGATCTCCATGGACTGCATGTGGATGAGGCTCTTTATCATCTCAGTCAGGTGCTCACTGAAAAGAATTTGGGTACGTGAACTACAAACATACATACAACATTTCTAAAAAGAACAGTTTTTCAAATGTAGACTGCAGATGGATTGTATAGACTCCAGAGTCTTCATTTTTTTAAATGTACGTGTCTTTTGTAGAATGCCGTCAGGGTTTGTGTCGGCCTCAGCTGTCAATCATCACAGGAAGAGGCAATCACAGCCAAGGGGGAGTGCCACGCATCAGGCCTGCTGTACTAGACTACCTCAGAAACCAACACTACAGGTATACTAAATGAATACTGTGCTCTTGCAATGTGACTTTCTGAATGGTACATTGACTTAATATATGCAACTGTCATTCCGTGAAACGTCTTTTAGTGTAAACAAGTTCCATGTCCTACCAATTAAAGTCCCCCTGTAGTCAATAATTTTATCTTTGATCACCAAAAGACATATTTAAAAGATTGTTTCGTTGAAAAATAAAATCTTCATGCTTTAAAGGTGCTTCATGCTTTTTTGACCAGTAGTGTATATATATATATATATATATATATATATATATATTAGTAAGGTATATATTATTAAGGTAAAAACAAATGTATATACTATATGTAGTCTGAATAGTAAAAAGCCAGAAGCTTTATTGAAGCATACTAGGTACTTAATTTGCCATATTATTATTTATATATACAGTATATATATTAAATATTATTATATTTTGACATAGTTGTCATCACATGTACATTTTATTATAATTTGTTCTCCCTTTTTTCTATCTTTCTTACAGCTATACAGAGCCTAAGACCGGATTGGTGCTGGTCACACTTCATTGAATGAGTTGCTACAATGAAGCATTTGCTTTTAGATTACCGTCTTTCCACTGCCTTAACTCAAAACGTCTTCTCTGGGAACAATAGTGCCAGTAATTATAATGTTCTTTTAACTACACACACCTCTATTTTCTTTCAGTAATTTTTTACTGAAAAAAGAGTTTATCTAAGACATACAAATATCAGGGTACTACATATTTACACAGTGTTTTATATTGTATTGACCTATATGCTATACTTTATTGAATGTTTATTGCTCAAGAACAAGGTTCAACTGATCCCTAATCACTATATTTTTTTATGTAATACGTTTAAATTGCCTTTTGCCTAAATAGATAATGGCTACACATTTTTCCTAGCCAGACCATATAGAAGAAAAGGTGGATATTATTTTGGTACTTAAGAAGTTTGATATATTTTTATTTGTTTTATTTTTTTGCTTTATAAGTGCAGTGCTACATAAGTTTTATAAGATCTAGCTTGTGTTTAAAGTAGTGGGGATGTCACAGGATGGCTTGTTCTCTTCAGTGTTGATGTATATAGAAATATATTAATCGCGTTTCTAGAAATATAAATGCTTTGATTTTTGAATGCATTTTAGTTTTGTTGTGAGCAGCTTGGAAAGATATATTGGACGCATACATTTTATGTCGCTTTGCATTGCTGGTATTTAAGTTTTAGCTCAGCTTTGTTTTTTTATATTTCCAGTTTAAAATGTTGATGCCACTCATATTTTATAGACATCTTAATGCTGCTATGCAAATCACAATTCTTATGTGTGAGAATTGTTCTAGAAAATATTTTTGTGATTTTTGTATATTTTGAACCTCAAAAGATTTTATATGTAAAAAAAAAATATTTTTGTTATTCTAAATTATGATTGGGGAAAAACTGAAGAGAAGAATAAAGACTTGACATGTACAAGTTTTGATTCTTTTGGTGAAATGAAAATGTGGTGTGATGAGCAGAAAATGTGGTTTATAAAGGGCTTAGTGTAGCATGCGCTTGGAGCTCAAACACAGCTGAACATATTCTACATCCTCGTTTCTCTTTTTCTCCATTTCCCCTTTAATCTGTAGAAACCGTTGGTGGGGGAAAATATAACTCGGCATGTTGAACGCTCAGTTGCTGACATTTGTTTCAATTGGTAAAGGTCAGATTTCTCCATGATGAAAGTGGCAGCTGTTGAATGGAATGCAGTGCACTTCCTTTCCATAAGAGGGCGCTCCGGCGATGCTGTGTACACACACAACCCGGCACTAGAGCGCTGCACTGAGCACTCACACTGATGCATTTTTGTTGGCCAACCCCGAAGTTAGCATCACCCTGGTTCCCTTGAAAAAAAAAAAAACTCAATAAGATTTTTCTATTGGCTTTTTATTTAATCAAGAAATGTGACCAAAAAATGTTGATGTTTATCACGATAATCTTCACAAAACAGCTTTTATAAAGCCTAAATACAATTAGCAGAAGTCTTATTAGGGTTTGAACAAACTATAGGCTTCTACTTCAGCGTTGCTTCTGTCAACTCTTTTAGTATTTTATTTATTTATGAACATTTCCCTGAAAGTTTGAGTTAGTAATTGGCTAGAGCGTGATTCTAGTGTGTAGATTTGTTTTCCTTAATAATATCCTCGACAACCTCAGTCCCATTGCATTGCATTTCCAGTTGTTAACATATTAAATCTAGTAAAGATATTTTCATATTTCAGTTTTTTTTTTAAATATAGATTTATAATGCCATACTTTGTTATATTACCTTGGCAGGAAATTACAAAAAATACAAATGAACAACACTGCTGCGAGGTGTTTCTACAGCTGAGGAAGTGACCGCAAATGTGAAATATTACTCTCTTCTGACTACTGTAATCAGTCTATATATGTTCCCTTCTTTTTGAAACGTTGTTTGAGCATATAGGAATACATAAATGATATTTGCATTCGTCTCCCATTCACAGCTATTTACCAAACTATGACAACTTCCACTTCTGAGAACCCCAGAAATCTAAGAGTCCCTTGTTCCACCTTTAAGAAAGCTTATAAAAATCACAAGGGGGTGTTATTAATGTGTTTTGTTGTAGAATAAAACGTTGAAATACCTTGAACTACATACAAGTCCAATCCAAGTCTAAATACAAGTCCAAAACAATAGCCTACTATCTTACTTGAGTTGCATAAAATGTGCCTGACTACTCTGTGAACAAATAATTTAAACAGGAAATAAAGATTGATTTCAAAATTGCTGTTTCTTTTATACAGACACCATTTGGGGTCTCTGCGAACAATTAGTCCACCGCATCAGGGTTAGCATAGGGCTTTATCTTGTTCTTGTTTGCATCTTTCCTTCTTTTGCTTGCTGCATTAGACTGTTTCATGCACAAAGAGTACTTGACTCAACGAAGCAAAGACTCAATGCTGTAGATGTGCTGAGAACGTCACACAGTCGCAGCGGAAGCTCAGAAGAGATTTGATGTACGATTTTACAAAGAAAAGAGCCCAGCCTCGCATTTCACTTCCCTCCATGAGAGGATACAACATCTGCTCTGTCTGTGAAGGCATATATTATCTCTCTGTGCTCGAGAGTACCTGAATTTCCTGTCTTTAACAATTGAACTTTTGAGAAATATGGAGAATTGGACTGGGGTCTGATCTGAACTCATTCGTCTTCTTTAATTAAATTAAAACAAACGAACAGATGCTAAACTGATCCTTATACATGTCTGTCAATCTCGTGGTTGAGCTCAAAAGAGGTGAGTCGTTTTATATACTCTGTAATACATGTGTTAACTATACTGTGCCTCAGTTTAAAACCGTAATCTCAGTGGATATATACTTTTTATCTACAAACTTATGTCTGAATAAATAGAGCTACAGTCCAAACTTGATACGCATAGTGTTCTTTATTTGTAAGGTTCTTAATCAGTTTAAACTATAATTAACAATTTTATAAGGACATTTTTTAATTATTAATTTTAAAGGAAAATCATATTTTTTATGATTAGGAAGGGCTTTGGTGGTTAAATGTTTGATACTTTTTGATTTAGGCCTACTCATTTGTGTGTGTGTGTGTGTGTGTGTGTGTGTGTGTGTGTAGGGAGCTCAATCTCCAAAACAATTGTAACCCTCTAAATTCGGGTTATTTTTTCCAATACTCATGGTAATTTTTTAATAAAGCAAAATGCTTTTGTTGTTGATGAAGATATAATTCTTAGATTCATTAAAGTCATTTTATAATACAGCATCTTCTGTATTAGCACAGAAATCTACCTTAAGTACATAATACTGGTCAGATTAAAGGCCTACTTCTCAATAATGATCTGGCTGACAATGTTCCCAATATCTATTATAAATATATATTTTTACTAGAGAAGTGTTTTTATAGAAAAATTGTTTTCTGAGTATATCTTATAACCGTTTGGCCTTTTGTGATATCAAATGGAGCAGTTGTTTGATTCATCAGCGTACTTTCCTCTCTTGACTGCCAGATGGATGCCTAGTAAGTGCAAGCCATTGCCATTTTGAGAATAACCTTTGAAGGATTTTAACATGTCAAAAATGTCCCTTTTCAGCATTAGCCAATAGAGTTATTAAATAAACAAATGAATAATCTCTCAAATTTCTGTTAAACTACGTTTTTTTACACAAACTATGCAAAGAATTGTACTTTAATCAATAGAAGGGCCGTCATCACAGGAGTAAAACGGGAAGCTTTGTCCCAGGCCCTGTGATGAGAGGTATTTTCTCCACTGCTCTGTGGAATAGCGGGTATTGTATTGTAAGAAAAATGTGGAAAAAGTAAATAAAAAAAAAAAAATAAGAGTGATTGTCCATTGCATGATGTTTTAGTGTTTCTTTGGTATTTTAAAGATTTAGTTCAGGATAGTTTCGGAAGGATATTTCACACAAAAATGAGAATCCGGTCAACATTTTCTCACCCTAACCTGCATGACTGTAGTTCTTCTGGGGAACGCAAAGGATTACTGTATATTTCGAAGAACATTGCAGTCCAAACAACATCAGGCCCCAAAGACAAAAAAACAAACACACACACACACACACACTGATATTTTAAAATAATTTGTTTTGTGTTCCACAGACGAAAGTAAGTCATATAGGTTTGGAACGACATGAGTGCATGAAAATGAATTTTTGTTGTTGTTTTTTTTGTGTGTGTGTGTGTGTGTGTGTAAAGTATTTATTTAAATATAAGACAAATTAAAAGATATAAATGAAATTTAAAATTACGTATAAAAAAATCTCATTGTATGAGTACAATTATTGGTGTTTTGTGATGGTATAATAGTTACTTTTTTATTGTTTATGAATTATGCAGGATTCTTCACAGAGAGAGGGTAAAACAAGAACAAGAGATACAGCTTGCTGCAAGACTTCTCACCTCTGGATTTCTATGTCTTGAATATCTCTAATGGAACACAATGACCTCAGTTTCTAAACCTTCACTGGATTACAGAGGAATAAATCACCACGTCGCAAAACGAAGAGTGTGAGGAGGACTTCAGAATGCTATGTGAATAGCAGGGTTTTCACTTCTGGTCTTTATAGATCTGCAAACTTGTAATTCTCAATGATGACTTCATCATCTGTTGGACACCACTGAATTTCTATTCAATTTTTTTGGACCTATTAGACTGCACCTTACAATCACTTCAACACCAGAGACAGAACGATGAACGGTTTGACGGAGACCTCAGTGAAATGCGTACTGGTTGGGGACTGTGCAGTGGGTAAAACGGCACTTCTAGTGCGGTTTACTTCTGAAACGTTCCCAGACAGCTATAGACCCACTGTTTATGAAAACACTGGAGTTGATGTATTTATGGATGGAATCCAGATCAGCTTGGGACTGTGGGATACAGCAGGACATGATACGTTCCGCCAAATCCGCCCCATGTCCTATCAGCAGGCAGATGTGGTTCTGCTATGTTATTCGGTAGCAAATCCAAATTCGTTAAGCAATCTGCGGCACAAATGGATCACCGAAGTGAGGGAATTTCTTCCGAAGATACCTGTGCTGGTTGTTGCAACACAGACAGACCATCGTGAGATGGGCCCGTATCGTGCCAACTGCACCACGGCCTCGGAGGGCAAACAGGTCGCGCAAGAGATCCGTGCCAAAGGATACCTGGAATGCTCGGCTCTCAGCAATCGTGGCGTGCAGCAGGTTTTTGAGTGTGCCGTCCGAACGGCTGTTAATCGGGCACGAAGACGGTCAAGGAGGAGACTCCAAGACTTTAATCCCTGTAAAGTCTCCTGAATGCTTTTAAAACGTGGATGAAATTGAATTCTTATCACTAAGATAAAATTGTTTCTCACACACAAAACCAACTAGCTAACTGAAGCCTCAAGAAAGACTTCTGAACACTGATGTCTTAATACTGTTTACCTAAATGACTATTTGATTTTGAGTCAGGAAAATTGAAATCTGACAGATATTGAACAGATATTTATTCATTAAACAGCTGTTATACCTTGTTAATTTTATAAATACTATACAGGATTTTACAAGTTGAACATACCGTTTAAAAGACAGGTGCGTCTTTTGTTGCACTGCTACTGCAAATGTACATTTGTAGATTGTAGTTGAAGTCTTATTGTGAGTTTCATTCTTTCAGCTTTATTTTCATGGTTTCTTGCGAACTGAAATATAACCTTAAAACTCGCTGTTTGTCTGCTGGTCCCTGTCCTCTGAAATAAGGATTCACATTAGCTCATAATGCAACACTGAGATCACATTATGTAATCTTCATTTTAGATGACAAATAAATCACTTCGGTTATGTATTTCTTGATTGCTGACAAGGTTTTTTTTTTTTTTCCTGTGAAATGCTTATGGAGCTTAGGAAAAGATAAAATGAGAATTTCAGTCCTGAAGTTCTTATTCTTAAAAGATTGATTTCATAGTCTTTATGAAATCACTTAAATAAGTCATTGTTTTAATTAAAAATTAATTAAAGAGTACTTTGCTATGTATCTGTGTGGTCTGTTATGCACAGTGAGTTATTATCGTTGTACTAAACCCAAAGAAATTATTGAAAGTGTTAATTAAAAATATATATATATATATATATATATATATATGAAGAGTTCAGATGCAAACGCCTCTAAATCAAACTTGTATATTTAAGTTCAGTAATTTCACTTAAATAACAACTAATAGGTAATTATCATTGCATTTAAGTGAAATCACTGAACTTAAATATACAAGCTTGATAAAAATGATCATTCTAGAAGAAAATTTCAAATGGCATTTAGAGGCTTTTGCATCTGAACTCTTCATATATATATATATAGTATATATAGTAACACTTTACAATAAGGTTCGTTAGTTAACATTAGTTAACTATATTAGTTAACTATTAGTATAATATAACTGCACATAATATGAACTGCACATATACAGCATTTATTGATCTTTGTTAATGTTCATTTTAACATTTAATAGTATTTTATTTAAATCTCGTTAACATTAGTTTGTGCACCGTGAACTAACAGGAACAAACAATGAACAGCTGTATTTTTATTAATTGACGTTAACAAAGATATATATATATATATTAGTATTAGTAGAAGTATTTGAAATATGTACATGTTTTTAATATTTTTTCTCTTTTATACACATTATTTTGCTGAAATTTTCTGTGGACACCTTTCTGTGAGGCCCGACAGACCTCAATCTGAACACACCTTGGTAAAAACAGTTGCAATGGAACTGTACTCCGTGTAAAGCCTTTGACAAACAAACATTATGTCTCCTGCCGTTATGCAACAAAAATCTGCATCTGGTCTCTGAGACAGACTGTTAGACATATTATACTCAATACGTAACAAACAGGAATACGAGCGGTTTCTCAGACACACACCAAAACATTTTTTGTTAATCTTTACTTAATGTTAGATGTTATGACACACTGCTTGGAAAAATCTAGAACACTCAGATAATATGTAATAATATCTTCTGATAAAAAGTTCCATTTTCTGAAACTCTGTTTCGAGGTTCTAGCCTTCGTCAGTGTAATTAGTGTCTGGTGAGAACAATGATAAGGACAACAGAGACAGTGTTCAAACTATATAATACCATTCAATACAAAATGCGAATAGATCACAAGATACTTTCTTACTCGAGATATTACAAACCTCCTTGACTATGAATATATTTGACATCAGATATGTTTAGATTTGCTGTGATTGCATCACATCACACAGCAGTTTTGTGTTTGCGTGGATTGACAATTTGCTTGTCCAGAAAACCGATTGCACTGTGCAGGTTTGGACACAATGTAAAACAGTTGATGCACAGAAGAGAGCAGAGGGAAATGTAAAGTATACAGTTATTTATAATATTCCCAACATATAGCCTATGACATTTTTAACCCTTCATGTAATAAGTTATTAACCAGGAGAATGTTTTTATAAAATGATCAAATACACAGGCAATAAAACAAAAGAAATGGTGTGCTACTACACACACTACATAAAAGGAAAAGTTGGCAGAGGAGCAGAAGAAGACAGAGCAACATAAAGAAAAAGTATATGTTATGTGGTTTATGGAGATGAGGCGATGTAGGCTGCTGCTTTTGGAGAACTGAAGAGTTCAGACACCGAAACCACATCCCAGCAGGAGAACGTCTTTCTCTGAACTTGCTGAAAACACGTGCTAGGTGGCTCTATAGAAAAACGTTACAATTGTATTGTGAAATGTATATCTCTTTCTAAATTTTTTGTAAGTAAATGTATTCCTTTTGTGATCGGACATATTTTGTACTGATTCTAGAAATCCACATGAGAGGTCTAATAAAAAGTTGCTATTAAAAATGACCTATACTTTTATAGTTACAATTTCAATAGGTTTTTTATTTTATGGGTTATTGTTACATTTAAACAAATGAAGAGTGGGATTAGCTAATACAATAAAAAGAACTGAACTCAAACTGCAATACATATACCACAAAAGAGGAAGTGAGGACTATCAAAAGAGTTTATTTAATACAACACTGAGTGAGCACATGTGAAGCAAACAGGTTTATAGAGTGAATTGAACTGTTGAATCTTGGAATATTTAATGAATGAATTGTTGCATTATTGAATATCAATAATGGACGTAATAATGAAGGTTATAATGTTTTGTGTTATATGTATGAATTTTCCTTCAGAAAATAAAACTAAGCATTTATTTCTTCTGGGAAATACTAAAGAAGATATTTCCCCCCTCCCCTTACAATGAAAGTAAACAGGGTCCAGTGTTATTTTTGGACCTCACTGGCTTTAAATGCCAAAAAAACTGTTGAGACATTCCACAAAATATCAGGAAAATGAGCAAATGATGACAGAGAGTTTTTTTTATTATTTTTGGGTGAACTAAGGTAATAGACTTGAAACTGTAATATGTGGGTGAGACAAATTGCTGGATATGTTATATATATCATTAATATGCCTTAGTCCATATTTGGCAAATTTACAGAGTGCTGTGGTCTGCACAACTCGCACAATAAATCCACTCAGACATATACACATTCATTCTATGCGACCCTACCACACAGTCTGTTCTCTTTTCTACAACAGGAAACACCTGCACCGTTCTCTTACCACACGAAGGCTCTGATACACACACACAGACAATCCACCCATAAAGCATCAAAGCCTTGCACAATCAGCTCTTTATGACAGTTAAGCCAAAACTTAAGAGATTGAGCATCATCATATTAAGTTCCAATAGCTGAGGTGATGCTAAAACACTAACAAACCGAGTCAAAAATAGTCAGCGATATTAAAAATCATTAGTTGAACCTTTAGGATTTTCCACACTTTGGTTTATCTGGCCAATGGTGAGTCAGAGAGGAATGAGTGTGTAGGACAGGGAAGATACCCCTGAAAATGATACTGAAAGAATGCACCTTAATTTCAGAAAGCACAAGAGAAAATACACATTCTGAGTCATTTTGAGTCATTATGTCATGTTATTGTGTCATTTTATCTTTAAATTGTTGTTTAAAGATACTGACCTGCTCTGCTGCAGTGTCACATAAACAGATAAGAAAGAAGGGTGAAGAAAGAATAATGATCTAAAACAACATTTATTTAGTCATCCCTGACCCTGAGAGTAATTGTCAATGCTGGAGCATTATGGGTAATGTAGTTTGGCAGCATAATATATCAAAGTACACTACAGGATATGAAACTCTCCTACGCCTGAGAAAGAAAGAGAAAGATATAAAGACGCCTCGAGAAGAACCACTTCCTGTCTTATTCCTCTCATCTCTCATCATTTCAGACCCCACGGTCCTTGTGTGTGTATGTGCTTGTATTCCTGCGTAGGTGATGGGAAATATGAGGGGGCTGTGTGACACAATCTAAAGAGATTCGGTTACAAACAGCTCCTCAAAGGTACTTACTTAGAATGCTATACATTTGTTACAGGGAAGTAGTTAATTAACATATTTGTTTTACATGCAAAATGTATGATAAACCCAGCACTAGAAAATTTGAAAATTTGAAAGCTCGGTTTTTATGGGCGTCTCGCATTGAAGACTTGGAAGTAAAAGGCCACTGCTGTGAGTGGATGACAGTTTTGCATATTATAATGAGTTTCAACTCAATCGCTTATGCAGCGACTGTCTTCTTCCACAACCAGGCACAGCACAATATTTTGCAACGGTATGTTTATTGCTCTGTAGCTCGATCCGGATTGTCATCACGAGGTAGGCATCTATGTTATTTAGCTATACGTGTAATGGGTGAATCGGTGGGCGGGGCTAAACCGGCCGTGTTGAAGTAGGCGTTGATCTGGGGTGATGTTTTATCCTCTTTGACGTCATAGTTCCCCCACTTTGAAAAATAAATAATAATAATAAAAGCTTTTATTGGACTAACAAAGACGTTTTCAGTTCTGAAACTTACAGGATATACTTATAATATGATAACCTCTTAGATGTCAAAAGCTCAAGGAAAATTTGATTTCTTAGTTCATCACCCTTTTAAATAAAAGCTATTGCCAGTAATTAAATACAGCTATTTTATTTCAATCGTTAGTTATATATTAGTTTATGGTGTTGAGAAAACTAAACTGAAAAACTAAGAAAAATTTAAAAAATTGCTAACTCTAAAAATAATAACATAAGTCTGATAGGCTACATAAACTCTTTCATAGCCTTCTCTATCTCGTGTAAAATGAGGATTACTGCACTGTTCTGAATAAATGTGGCCCCATAGTATTAATTTAACAAACACTTTTCATTTCAGTGCCTCAGCCATTGAGAAAAGAATATACCCCACTATAGTAAACTAATACAGGTAACAATGTTACTCACTCTTTAATGAGATAAGAAAGTTGATATGGAACACAGATGCAAATAAAAGGTGATTAAAAAGCATATTTTGCATTTCCACATACAGTACACGACTGAAAAAGAGATCAGAATGTCAGTGCGTTTTATCTAGTCCTTGTAATGCATTAGCAGTCACTCTCTGCTGTCTTGAAATTAAGTGTGTGCATGTGTAAGAGGGGAGACTGTCTCTTCCTTTAAAATTCATTGTGTGTAACATTCAAACCACCTGACCTGTCTGCACTACACCCTTGTCAGATCGGCTCTCACTTTGACTGACAGGACGAACACATTCAATCACACAAAATCACAACGAACAATCCATTACACGTGCGGAAAAGATAACATATAAGATCTTTCTGCTTTTGAAAGAACAGAAGATCCAAAGTGTTATAAACACACATTCTTTTTACATAGTTGAATATCTCCACAGTGACATGAAGTGTGTGTGTGTGTGTGTGTGTGTGTGTATGTGTGTACGCATGTTAGTGTGCATGCTATGTGATACCTCGGCTCTTGTTCCAGAGAAGCAGTAAGAAGGCCTTCAGTGTTGTACATGGCACACCATCACTCGTTCAGATCGCTATGGGACTTCTCGCAATTTCCTCTTTCCTCCTCTGCAGAAAATAACATTTTAAGAATGAAGAGCAAATGAGGACCAACAGCAAATAATAACTGGCAAATTGTATTTTATTTTTGCCGTTCTTATGAAAAATGAAGATCATATTTCTTGTGCTTCACATTAGCATGCTGCTACATGGTAAGTTCATGCTCCTTATGATGTTGTTCAAAATAATTTCCTTAATCAGAATTTTTGTTTTGTTTTTCAGTAAAACATCTTAATGATAATTTTATTTTATAAGCAAAATTGTCAGACAACAATAGATTGTTAGAGAATATATTTAGAATAAGACTAATTTTCATACCTCATTAAAAATGGGCTTTTCTTGTTTTAAATATCTATACATTTTTTTATTTGAGTTTATACTGAAAATAAAAACAACAGGATAATAATAACTGATCCAACTACATACATATTACTATTGTATATTTTTATTTATTTATTTAGGCTACTTTGTTACCATGTTACTGAATGATAACCAGTATGCCAATATATTAAAGTACTGTTATATAATGTATGTCTAAAACAAAATGTCTTACAATTTTTCTTCTAAATTGGTGCCTTAAAAAAACACACACACTCTAAAAAATGCTGGGTTGTTTTAACCCAACTTTGAGTCAAATATGGACAAACCCAGTCATTGGGGTACATTTTTTAATTATATTTTCAACCCAACATTTGTGTTTGTCCATATATGACTCAAAGTTGGGTTAAAACAACCCAGCATTTTTAGAGTGCACCAACAATCATGTTTCCACAAAATGATCATAATTACCTGTGATAATTTTGGGATGATTTATTCAATTTCAACATTATTTTTTTACGCTCGATTTCATTGAAAACTACTAAATAAAATATGTTCTCCTCTCTAGTTGTTTTCTCTGCTCAGGGTCGTTTTGCTCAAAAATTGCTGAATGACCTAATGGAGAATTACTCGAATGCTTTACGGCCTGTGGAGGACACAGACAAAGCTCTTAACGTCACTCTACAGATCACACTCTCTCAGATCAAAGATATGGTGAGCACTAAACACACACACGCACAAGTCTACGGAATATTGACATTTAATCTTGTACCTATTTTATAGTTAGAATGAAATGTTTTACTGAATTAATAGAGCAGAATGAGTTTATAGCCACACACATCAGACCTTTACTGCAGAGAAAGTGTGTCTAAAATAACCGCTGATTCTGAGATCAAGGTATACTGTTTAACACACCAGCAAAAAACCCACACACTGTCCAACTGGCCTTTATGTGGCATGCTTGTGTGATTTCAGGGCATACTTTTGCGACTTAATGCTGTAGCCGCACAGATCACACAATGGCCCCAAACTTTTAAACTCTGGAAATACATGCATATAGCTCAAATGCATACTCATTCATGCCTATGGCTTAAATAACTACTTACTTTTGCCCAAACAATTATGTATAGAATTGTCAAGAGTAACCAACCAGGCAAACTTGTGCCCAATGGACTACCAGCTGTGGTCTTCACTACAGTTGCAGTTGTAGTGGGTAACTCTGTGTCAGAAGTTATCAAATGTTTATCGTGTGGATCCTCTTCTTGTTAACTCTCTGTATCCTGTGACACTGTAGACATTATGTGTATGTATAGTGTGAGCTGGGTGACTAATGTATAACAGTTCCTAGCAAGTGTGCCACTGCGGATCATGTTTTCTCCTCACTTTAAATTGCTTTAGTCATCAGTGTGTTTAAGTAACCTGGAAAGTTACATTCGTATTTTTCTTCTTTTTTTTTCTGATTAGATTATTTATTTATTTATTCATTGCTGGTGCAAAGGTACTGTCTGCTTTAAACATTAGAAACATTTATAAAATATAAAAATAAACTACTATAAGCGTAGTAATTAGTAAAACTTTGAATTAACATAAACTTTAGAATGTCTTACTGAAGCCCTACCGTTTACTCGGGTTGACATGAACTCTACAAGTTTCTGCAAAACACAATGATCATGTTATCCAGCATGATTTCAGAATGTCAGAGATAATCTTGTTACAAGTTTGTTTATTTGGTTAATGACCGAAAATTAGTGCAAAATCGAGAATATTATGCCTACTTATTCATTTTACTTTAAAGGGGTGGTTGATAATGATTTCACTTTTCTAACTTTAGTTAGTGTGTAATGTTGCTGTTTGAGCATAAACAACATCTGCAAAGTTACAATGCTCAAAGTTCAAAACAAAAAGAAGATATTTGCTGGACCACATCAAACGGCTAGTAGGGACTACAGGTCCAGGACATGCCACCTGGGTTAGTGACATCACCAACCCTATAATTTACATAAACCCCGCCCCAGAACGTGATTTATAGATTATCCAGATAGAATATGCTAATCAATGCCTCGAAGATAACTACACATAAGTAGAGATGTCCCGATCCGATCAAGTGATCATGTGGTTTCAGACTCGATCGGAATCGGATGTTACCTATCAATATGTTACCACATACATTATCAGTATTTTTAAACACATCTATAGTTATGTGGTGGCACAGTGCCTGTGCATGCTAGGAATAGAACCTACGCCTATTTTTCATGTGACACGCAAGCGTGTTGGAAGCGTTTCCAGGCAAAATAGAATAGGAAAAGATGTTTATATGTTATTTTGTACACAAATACATTAATAAATTACATTTTGATGGTTGAAAGTCTAGGTTTTTACATAAATTAGATATAAATATAATTTAAAATATAAATAAATAAATAAAATAAATAATTATACATTTTCAAATATTGCACCTGTCAATACAGAACGAAATATTCTGTGGTCTATTTTGCTGTCAATACTGCTGACAGCCATTTTATCAGTATATTTACAGTATGCTTAACATTAGAAAGTTGATGACAACAACATTGTTGGGATCTCAAGTGGAAAGAAAAAGGCTACATTTACCACAACAAACCTGAGTTGTCAAATGTTAAAATAAGGTGAATTGAATTAAAAATAAGGAACATCCTGGAATCTGGATCTGTTTTTTCGCTCTTCTTTATTCTTATTTTTTTTTTTAATTATAGAGGTATCGGATCGGGATTTGGTATCGGTAGATACTCAAAATCAAAACCTGATCGGGACATCCCTACACATAATAACCTATATATATTCATCAACTAACCATTCAGAAATCTCCTGTTGCATTCTACATGTTGTCACTTCTTCTTGAGTCTCTCCATCATAGTCTGGCTCCGGTTTAAACATAAAAGGCCTTTTGAAATTTTCGAGGCATGTTGGTGTGAGGTAAAACGGTAGCACCTCATTACAGTACATGAGATCCAGGGGGCGACTCCTCCCCGTTGATTTCATGTTCTGCAGTGAGAACCATCTCAGGCAAAAGGACACAAGCTGTTGAAGCCACAGATATCCATATAAAGGCTAGATGTCTAGTCCGCGTTGCTGGCCAATGGAGGTCAACGTCAGCACCTGGCGGCCATCTTGTCACAGGCAGATCGCTCACTCGTAACATTGTTTTAATGGTGCATACTTTTTAAATCACCGTAACTTGCTCAATTTTCTACCGATTTTCAGACGGTCTGGTTTGTTATAAACATCAGAGATGTAGTTATGACACTGCATACTTATGAATAATAAATGTATAAACAAATAATCATCCAGAATTATAGCCATGTTGATGACGTTTGTAAGACGTTTGTTCGTGCTGATGATCACTCACCTGCCAGAAAGCCTGCCTGTGACAAGATGGCCGCCGGTGAAGACGACAAAGACTCTGCCGCGAGGCATCTAGCCTTTATATGGATATCTATGGTTGAAGCTCTGTGACGGGAGCAGCTCATTTGCATTTAAAGGAACAGACACAAAACGGTGCATTTTCCTCACCCTCAAAAAGTGACCATTTTAACATGCCATTTTAAATATCTGTGGGGTATTTTGAGCTAAAACTTCACATACACACTCTTACATCTTGTGAAAAGGGCAGTATACCAACCCTTTAAAGATTGTAAGATTTTTCAATGTGGTTTAGATTCTTTGCAGTTGATGCAATGGGCTATATGCACGCATAAGTTCCGCATTTGACGTAAGGATGCTCGTCCATTTCCGGTTGTGTAGATTAAAGCGGAGGAAAACCGGAGAAAACGGGATTATGGCAGAGTCTTCAATATTTACTGTCCTCCCGTCTTTGAAACGAAACGTACATACGTTTAGATGTAATTTTATATATAGTTATGTTTATTTAATATAATTTTAAAAAGAAGCATAAACACAACGAGGGGTGTCTGTTTTATTTTATCTGTTTTTGTGACTAACGTTTCATTAGTATAATCATGGAGTATAAAATTCAATATAAATTCTCGGTATTGCATTGGACTCTATGATCGGCGGAAGTTATCGAGCATCCTTAATCCTATTATTAATATACTATTATTTTGCAATACTATTATTTTGTATTTTCACTTATTTAAACATACTTTGACAATAGATTATATAAAATCTATATGATTTTTTATTTTATTTCAATCATTGTAGTCTTTAAAAACGGTTTATTTAAAAAAATCTGTTGGTCAGTTAATTGTTCACCCAAAAATGAAAAATCTGCCAAATTCACATGCCATTCCAAACCTGTATCATGTATTACTTTTTTCCTTCTGTGGAACAGAAAAGAAGATACTTATCTAAGAATATTGGAGGTCATACTGTACGAAGGACACAGCGACTCTTTGTCTTTGTTTGTTTTTTATTTAAAAAAACATATGTATATATATATATATATATATATATATAGAATATAATAGTAAATGATGAAAGTCACGGTAAATGATGAAATCCAATTGTAATTGTATTATTTTATGTTCAGTGTTTGTGTGCTCTCGCAGATGATGGTCATATAAGGCACTGGTGGTCATTGTTTATTCGTGTTCCAGAAAGAGACAATGAATTTCTCCTTTAAGAGGCACTGAATTTCCGCCCTGATCAAGCTCAATCAAATATTAATTTACTGAACCTGAGGAGTAGGCTACTTTTAACCAATGAAATGTGACATGTAAACGGTGCAACCTAAGGGTTCAGACTTTCTTCCCTTTCATTCTTCATTGTTGTGAGAAAGTGTTCCTCGTAGAACAACAGGGTTTTATATTGCAGATCAAGACCCTGTGTGACTGAATACGTGGGACTAACATATAATGTACCCATACTTTTGCAGATGTCTAAAAAATGATGTCTGAAAAATGTCTGATAAAGAATGCAACATCTCGAAACTTTCCCTTTATATGTGTGCAAACTGTTGTCTGCATCTTAAATTTTACGTTCATTTTACTTACAAAGTACCTCATATGACTTTCTTTCGAAACACAAAAGAAGATATTTGAAGGATTTCAGATGAAAGTAATGCTCCCAAAACGCGAGTGGTTTTTGTTTGTCAGCCTGAGGCAGAACATTTTCACGTAATGCCCATCTGTGCGCGCTGGTCTGAAAACAAGGTGTGTTCAGGTGCATTGCTGGCGCGTTGCTATTTTGAGGTAACTGAAATAGACTGCGCCATTGACCAACTGAAACTAAAGTCAATGGTGCAATATTTTTTTGTTATTTAAAGAGCGTGTTACTAATGTGCGCCTATAGGCGGGTTCACAAACATGCCAAGTATTAAAAATTAAAGAGGCTACATGCGTTTCCTGAAATTTAAACTCGCGACTGACACCTGTGGCCAAAAAGCAGAACTGCTCTTCCTTTCTGCTCGCTCTCACAATGCGCGCTTTTACGTGCACACTTCACCAGTCATCTGCTGCAAGAAGGTCAACATTATGTTTACAGAGGTAAGAACATTGTTTGAGATAAAGTGTTTTGCTTGCAAGTGTAGGCTAGTTGCTGACTAGCGGTGGTGGCAGAGTGATCTGAAACGTTTAACATTAACACGGTTGACGTCCCATCCGCAGACAGCGCGGGAAAAGTCCGACCCGACAGAAAATAGGAAAAATAGGATACAGGCTTATAGGTGCACCCACTGTGAGCGGACAAGGTGTCAGTATGCTCATCAGGAGTTGTTTTAGTCATAAATAGTAAAATGAAAAGGGGATTGTTATGTTTATTTTGGCTTGTCCTGCAGATGATCTGCTCGCGCGCTTTTACCTCATGCACACAAGCAGATCTATTTGCACTCTGGAGACTAGCCATATTCAAATTTGTCCGCCACCCATGGAGCTCCTTCTGGAGCGAAGACGGTCCTAAAACGTATACCTTGACTTTTTTAGAGAAGGTGAGCAGCGTTTCTGGGCACGAATTCAGACCAAAAGAGCCCCTGGCCGGCTTGACTCTGGAGTCAAATTTGAAAAATTGACGCAAGTCCTTAAATGTGTTGTTGGTTCGGAGCTCCAGGGCCTTCAACGCAGTGACCCAAGAGAGAAGGTGCAATCTGGCAAGGGAAGTTTGGTCTTTCCACTTTCAAATTCTGTAAGTTAATGTAAATAGCGAATCCGCCAGGGTGTGAACACAACTGGCATTTAAAGGGAATGGGAGATGAGGCTGATTTATTGCACGCAAAGCCCAAAACACACCCATTGCTTATTGAGAGAAAGGTACCACCATTTTAGACCATGCGCATGGTGCGGCGATCATTTTTCCTGTCGTTAAACTAGTAAAAGTGGATTAATTCGGACACGCCCTAAGTACACTTGCGCCGTGTGCTTTAGATCATATGCTTAGATCGTTAAAATAGGGCCCAATTTTGGCCACCGCAGGTTTGTAAATTAAAGTTGCTTTGTGCTTGACTCTTTGTGCTAGGATGAAAGGAACCAGGTGTTGACCACCTACCTGTGGGTGCGTCAGATCTGGCATGATGCTTACCTGAGCTGGGATAAAGATGAGTATGATGGACTTGAGGTCATTCGAATACCCAGCGATCTTGTTTGGAGACCAGACATCGTTCTGTATAACAAGTAATACACCCTCAGTACATTTATTACCAGTTCTGATTGTTGGTTACACTGAATTATTAACCTCTATATCTCTTTTTTACTCAGTGCAGATGAGGAGGACTCCTCTGGACCCGCAAGCACTAATGTGGTGTTGAGGTATAATGGTGAGATCACTTGGGACTCCCCTGCCATTACTAAGAGTTCCTGTAAAGTGGACGTCTCTTATTTTCCCTTTGATAGTCAAGAGTGCAACCTTACCTTTGGCTCCTGGACCTACAATGGCAACCAGGTATTGATGGGTGTACACGCATAGTAGCAAATACAATAGTCAGTAGACATGCATATATTCTTGTATTGAGCTAAACGCTTTTTGTTTCTGGACATGTAAGATGTACACACTGTTATGTAACAATAGATATGTAATCCACTAACTGTAGAGCAAGGTTATTATTTTTGGGGGGTTTTTGCTTATTTACACAGTAAATGTTTAGTTGTTGTAACAATAGGATTAGATACATGTAATGGTATATGAAAAGCTCTATACTGTGAATATATAGCAGTAAATGCTAAATCTTAGTCAGTCCATCATCAGCATCCCTAATTATTAGTGACATCAGAATATATATGATTATAAACACATTGGAAGTATGCTATTAAAGGGGTGGTGAAGTATGATTTCACTTTTCTAGCTTTAGTTAGTGTGAAATGTTGCTGTTTGAGTATAAACAGCAGTATAAAGTTACAACACTCAAAGTTCAAAGCAAATGAAGATATTTGCTTTTAAAGAAAAGGACTACAACAAACGGCTGGTAGGGTCTACACAACATTCCTCCCGGGTTAGTGACACCACCAACCCTAAAATGTACATAAACACCGCCCCCAGGAACACGCAGTCCATGTTGAGAAGAGGAAGAGTTGTTGTATTAGAGTAGCCTACATTTGTGAGTCAACTCAAACTTAAGCATCCATTTTTCACATGCAATAGAAAGTCACTCTGTGTGCAACAGTTCCTATATGAGCGATTTATAGATTACATGACAGAATATCCTAATTGAAGATAATTAACTCCAACTAACCATTCAGACGTCCCGTTGCATTCTACATGTTGTCACTTCTTCTTGAGTCTCTCCATCTTCTTTGACTGACTCGTTTTAACATTAAAGGACAACTCCGGCGCAAAATGAACCTTTGGTCTAATTGCACATTGCTACCTAGTCAACCGTTATCTGAGATTTGTTTTCATGATTGCCGAATGTAAATAGTTTTATCTCTAAAAACAGTTTAGCCTATAACGCTAGTATATAGAGCATAGAGTAATGACAAATAAAAATCGCTTGTTATTACCACTAAAAAGGCTCAAAATAGCCCCACAGTAACACGACAGCATAACAAGGGTCCCTACATTCAAACCGAAGCATTGAGAACTTTGTCAGTGTCCATACAGTTTAATAAGAAGATATTTTATAGACACAGTCAACTTCGCGAATACAGGAAGAAGCCATCTTTGAAAAATAGTCTCTATCAGTCGATCTACGAGCGCCGATCCAAGTGCGCTGAACTGTGCAGAATCTCATATGGTCCGTTGTTTCCAGAAGAAACTCAAACAAAAACCGTTTACTTCTCTTCAATATGTACACGTAGCCTACTGTTCGCGCTGACCTTATCACCTTATTCACATCTCACCAGCGCACTTGGATCGGCGTTCGTAGATCGACTGATCGAGACTATTTTTCCAAGATGGCTTCTTCCTGTATTCGCGAAGTTGACTGTGTATATAAAATATCTGCTTATTAAACTGTATGGACACTGACAAAGTTCTCACTGCTTCGGTTTGAATGTAGGGACCCTTGTTATGCTGTCGTGTTACTGTGGGGCTATTTTGAGCCTTTTTAGTGGTAATAACAAGCGATTTTTATTTGTCATTACTCTATGCCCTGTATATACTAGCATTATACTAGTGTTATAGGCTAAACTGTTTTTAGAGATAAAACTATTTACATTCGGCAATCATGAAAACAAATCTCAGATAACGGTTGACTAGGTAACAATGTGTAATTAGACTTAAGGTTCATTTAGCGCCGGAGTTGTCCTTTAAAGGAATCCGTTTCTGTCATTTTAGTGTGCTGCGTGAGAAAATCGCAGCTGCTAACACACACATGTGTTCTTGAAACCCTGCCCTCTGCAGTAGCTCATTTACATTTAAAGGGCCAGGCACAAAGCGGTGCGTTTTTGCAAACCCTCAAAACGTGACAAATATAACATGCTATATAAAAATATCTGTGGGGTGTTTTGTGCTAAAACACACACACTCTGGGGACATCAGAGACTTATTTGTGTTGTCTTCATGCACTGTAACCTCATTTCTGCTGCTCTTAAAAACAAAAATACAAATGTAACATTTGATTTGAAGGAGTAAACATTTCTATATTTTTATAAATATAACAAATAAATAAATAAAAAAGCCTAAATTACTTTAGAACTTACTTATATTATATATACTGTATATATGCACTGACCTATAGGATTATTAGGAACACCTGTTCAATTTCTTATTAATGCAATTATCTAATCAACCAATCATGTGGCAGTTGCTTCTAATGGTGCATTCTATTATTCATCCGTCTCGGAGATCCAAATCGGACGACAGACCGTGCCTAGCAACACGCCCCCTTTCCTCGGATTTCTCCTCTGGGACGTCGGACAACCGTGAGGACACCGAGCAAGAATTCCGTTTCGGAATTCAAGATGGCTGCGCCCTGTGACTTGTAAGAATGAATTGTTTTCATTGTTTTTGAACCACTTTGGTATTTTAAATGACAATTATAATCACTCGTATTACTGCGTCCCCTGTAGGTATGGGAATCGGTTGTTGTGAGTGCAATTACTAACGTTGCTAGCATTGCTAACAGATGAAAAACATGAAAAACATTAAATAAAGTGAACATTTTCAAGTTCAAATGGCTGCGTTTTGATAAGGTGTAGTCATAATATATATATTTTTAATGTTAGTGCCTGTTACTCGGCCAGTGCTACCATTATAACAGCTTCCCGGGTGGCATTTTTTTCTCCGACTTGGACACGCAAAACATAATAGAACGCTTGAAGTGTGGACGTGACGTCAAATCCGAAGTCCGAGTCGGTTCGTTGGGTGTAATAGAATGCACCATAAGCATTTAGGGGTGTGGTCCTCCTGGTCAAGATAATCTCCTGAACTGCAAACTGAATGTCAGAATAGGAAAGAAAGGTGATTTAAGCAATTTTGATCATGGCATGGTTGGTGCCAGAAGGGCCGGTCTGAGTATTTCACAATCTGCTCAGTTACTGGGATTTTCACGCACAACCATTTCTTATGTGCCTCCCACAAATCTCCATCAACTGTAAGATGCTATCCTGTCAATATGGGCCAACATTTCTAAAGAATGCTTTCAGCCCCTTTTTCAATCAATGCTACATAGAATTAAGGCAGTTCTGAAGGCGAAAGGGGGTCAAACACAGAATTAGTATGGTGTTCCTAATAATCCTTTAGGTGAGTATATATATAATCATGCAAATGAAACCCTGTTATTCTGGCTGAAGGTATAGTTGTTGAGGAGGATATAGACATAATTGTGAACTTCCTGAACTGAAAATCCAATCATCTCCTATCACTTAACCCCAGGTGGACATCACTATGGGCATGGAGAGTGGTGACCTTTCAGACTTTGTGGAAAACGTGGAATGGGAGTGTCATGGCATGCCAGCTGTTAAGAACGTCATTATGTATGGCTGCTGCTCAGACCCTTACCCTGACATTACTTACACAGTCCTCCTCAAGCGGCGATCATCCTTCTACATCTTCAACTTGCTTCTGCCGTGTTTCCTCATCTCATTCCTGGCTCCGCTGGGCTTCTACCTGCCTGCTGATTCTGGGGAGAAGGTCTCTCTGGGGGTTACAGTACTGCTGGCTCTGACTGTATTCCAGCTGATGGTAGCAGAGAGTATGCCACCTTCAGAAAGTGTTCCACTAATTGGTGAGTTTACAGTGGAGCATAATAGTTGACATACCTTTGAAAATATCTCTCTTTTTCTTTCTTTCCAATTCTCTCTGACTACAGAATATGGTTGTCACTCTAGTTAGAGTCTTAAATATGGTTCTGTTGATACAATTTGGTTATAAATGAGTGTGAGAAGAGAACCATATGCTTTTTGTCTCTATCACTGTGGCTCAATTGACCCCCTAGTGGTAGTAACAGTTAACTATCAGTTAATTTCTGACTGAATTTATTCATTACATCTACATTGTCACACAAGTTGAAATGGGAAATTAATCATTTCTGTTTATGGTTGTGTGACACAGTAGAAAAAAAATGCTATGTATATATTTTGACAATATAGCATTTTTTAATGTCAGAAAATCACAGGTCACAAATGAGAGTACATACAGTTGTCAATCCCAAACATTTATTGTGTTAATCTAGTGTTTTTCTTATTTATCCCTTGTTTGTGTCTTTCTTATAGGAAAATACTACATCGCAACAATGACCATGATAACGGCCTCTACATCATTGACTATCTTCATCATGAATATACACTTCTGTGGAGCGGAAGCAAAACCTGTGCCCCACTGGGCCAAAGTCCTGATTATAGACTACATGTCAAAGATATTCTTTGTGTATGAGGTAGGGGAAAACTGCACCACACCTGAAAGCGACAGAGGCCCATTGTTCACTGAAGACCCGCTGGCTAGCCTGGAAAGAGATGGGTATTTTGACAATGGGATTTATGGAGACTGTCAGCATGATGAAAGAAACCACGGTCAGTTTAATGGGTACAATCACAGAGACCACCAGCATGGGAATGGGTACCATCCCAACAAAAGTGACTATCAGCAACATAGGCACCAGCATCAAAGGAGGACCCGCTCATCTTCAAATTCCCCTATCCGACAGAGTGCCCATCATCCGAAATACACACACTACATTGGTCGAGATGGAAGCGAAAAGCTCCCACTGACAAGTCAGGAAAAACTAAAAGATAGCGAAATCTCAATTCCAGAAAAACTTAGTGGATACACCTACGATCATGGCAATGGCTATCTCAATGGAGTTGGCTATCTCCATGATAATGGTTACGGCAAAACGTTTGGAGCAGATAGATACAGTAAGACCCCCACTGGCACAGGAATTGTATGCATCTGTGGCCAACATCAGAAAGTGATGCAAAACATTGACTACATAGCTAACTGTTTCAGAGAGCAAAGAGCACACCAGGCAAAAGGGGCAGAGTGGAAGAAGGTTGCCAAGGTGATGGACAGGTTCTTCATGTGGGTGTTTTTCATCATGGTATTCCTCATGAGTATCCTTGTCATGGCCAAGGCAACCTAGAGCCATTTACACAATGCAATCAATTGATTATATAATGGGTAACTCTATGTTTCAAAAGACCATTTAGTGACTGATTATTCTTTTTTTCAAACAGTACTGTAATTTCTATTATCCTGTATTTGTCGGTAGATGGGCTCACGTTCTACATTCAATGTAAATTGCAATTACAGCATGAGTGTTAGTTGTTTGAATGTCTCGCTTTCTTCATTGTTTACTTTATTTTTTCCACTGAAGAAGATTATCTGGTTGTAACAGTAAAAGAAAAGGCATTAATATTTCAAGTGTAGACGTGTTCCCATGTGTATATAGGGTAACACAATCTTTGTCTGGCATGGACACACATTAATAATGCATAATTAACCTTGCACATGCGTATGAAACAGAGATCCACACTATCGCACATTAAAAATGCATAAATAGACCAGTCTTGAGTGCTGAACGAACACACACACAGTGCAAAACTTGCCTCCTTGACCAGTGCTAACATCTACATTCTGCGACTTCTAAATTTACTAGTGTTAACTTATTTATTTGATAGCTGTCTTGTTCCTTGCTTTGTTCTCTGCCTAAAATATTCTTTACAAATGGTGCTACACTAATAAAAACTTTACTAATTCTAGAATCTTAGACTACTATTCAAAAAAGGCAAATGTTAAATAAAAAGAGAGCAAGTAAAATGATAAATGCAGATATGAATTGAAGGATTAAATCAAGAACTTGCATTAAAAAGAGCATCTCAAAAGGCCAATTTACACTGCACCAACAGATGTGATCAATGGCAACAGAAACTTTGTTGAGTTTTGTCAGATCATCGTGTTGGAGTCTGTTGGCATTGTCGTTTTCGGTGATTGAACATGTTTAATTAGCATTAGTCGGTTTGTGGAATAACTGAAAAATGTCGTTCTGTAATCTGGTGATTGTCTGGATCCTGTCCTTCAGAGCTGTATCCCTCCCAATCCACAAGGTTATGTAACTGATTTGCCCAAGCTAAAATCCATCAATCTCAAGTGGAGGAGGTGGCGTTGATTCAGTGATTACTGGTTCCGGTGCAGGGTGTACAGGTTTCAGGAGGGATACATGGAAGGAAGGAAAGATACAATCATCAGCAGGAAGCTTTAGTCTAGATAACCGGGTTGATTTGTCTTAATATCTTAAATGGACGTACTTCCTATCTAACTAAGCTTCCTGCTAGGTAGCCTCAGACATAGATTCCTTGTAAAAAGTCATACAATCTGGCCAGGTAGTAATTAGAGTGGGCACTCCTCCAACAGTCAGCCTGGATGTCCTGATGGCTCGCTGAAGCCAGACATGGGTGCTGTCCCACACCCTTTCACTTCTGTTTAACATTGTGTGTAATTGGGTCATTCGTATACACGGTAAACACCCAGCCGTGATCAGAGACAGTCAGCACTGCTTGTGTGTTTTTTGTAACTTGTAACTTGTACAATGAGGATAACAAAAGTGTGAGCCGGGAAGTAAGGTTAAAAAACACAAATTTCACTAAAAAGCTCTTCAGGCTGCTTCAGGCAGCTAAGGCAAATGCGCAGTCTCAAGCGTGTCATGTCGTACTTTACACTTTCTCCCATTTTTATAATAATATGAATGAACTATCTTGTTTAATCTTAAAGTTTTGGTGGTCAAACTCGACACAGAGAGCAAAGAGATGATAGCAAATAATGCTAACGTCAGCAGCCATGCCACTGAACGAACAATCACTATTACAGTATATTTACTACAAAAAAATAGACTTCACCACTGTCTGCTGCGACTGCCAGGTTTGAAGGCACTGGGACCATCAGTGGAGGATCTACCTCACTGGATACCAGTCCCGTTCACCCCAAGATTGATCCAGTGGCTGGGATGGTACTGGCCGATGATGTTCATGGTGGATCAAGCTCTGCTACTCACACTTTAGTGTAAATCACCTCTTTATAGAGTGTTTGTTAAATTAATCTGAGTATAAAGGGACACACACTTGAGACAGAGTAATAAAACCTCCAAACAGAGGAATTTTCCCGCTTAGAAATTCCACCTTTGTTAGTAATTTTTTTTACTAACAAATTTTCCCCTGAAATAGGGAACCAATCACAGAACAGGGAGGGAGCACAGGCGCATTTGATAAGACTTACAGGAGCATTTGATAGACATTCGTAGCACCCAATAATACGGCTCTGGGCATTTGTAAACCACACCTCATTCCAGACCATGCACGTTTCATTCTCAATGATACGTGGTCTGGCGTTAGCCAGGCTAGCAAAGGATGTAAACAGAGTAGACCAGACTTTGGAGTTTTGTAAGCCTGTGTTAAACAGAACATTAAATCTAACATCCTCAATAAAACAATCTGGAGAGAAGATCTAAAAAAAGAGCATAAGACACAGCCTTGCCCAAACTTCCCTCCTTGCTTATTCACCCTCCTCTACCTACTCCATATATTTTCCCCTGACTCAAGTCTCTGAAAGTTCAACAATGTCTACGATATCCCACCTATGATATGAATTTGTTGTTTTCATGCTTGCTATCATTTTAAATGGTGATGGGCCATTGTGACACAATGGGATCTGAAGCCAGGGTAGGAGCCATGGGATCTCCACGACTAGAAGAATCTGGCTCACAGCAGGGCCCAGGCCACTGAGAGGAGGCTCGAGGCCCCCTGGGCTTGAGGGCAGTGGGACCACCGGGTTTGTGGTTGCTGGGACCGTCGGGCTTGAGGGCACTGGGACTGTGGGGCTTGGGATGAGCCAGGGTGAGCTGATGGTCCAAGGGAGTCCAAGGGAGTCCAGCAAAGCCGAAAGCTTGATGGAGTAGAGGGAGGAAGCGGTGCAGGTGGAGGGGTCAGGGTGATGGGCCAAGGCAAAGTCCTTTTAGGCAAGTCATGCCACTCGGCCGCCATCTTGGCAACGCCTCCGGGCAGCTATTTCGGACTAACAAGACCAGGCTCCTATCTAAATGAACGGGCATATCAAATCTGCTGCCTTTTCAAACAGTAACATATTTTTCGCTGTCGCAAACCTCAACTATGCGCATACGTCGGTGGAACCAGACGATAGGCTTAAATGTTTCCCGGCTTGACTGTTAAAAGCAGACGATTGGCTTTTCAGCGGGAGAGGCGGGGCATATGCATACAATCGCCATCTTTGGTGTTACAGGTTTTCCCTATATAGTTGTATTAAGGATTGAGGAAGTGGCATGTCTCTATATAAATAGTCTCTGGCCAAGGTGACACAATGGGATCTGAGGCTGGGGCCGGAGCCACGTGATCTTCACACCCAGAAAAAGCTGACTCACAGCAGGTCCCAGGGAGGGCTCGAGAGTGCTGGTACCCCTGGGCGTATGACCTAAAGCAATTTGTCGAATAAATCACTCTTTCTGTAAAACATTAAACAAGTTCATGTGGCCTTCTTGAGACACCATTTGAAAATTCATGGACTCTAAACACTTTCTCACTCACTAAAACACATTTTGCACTGTGATGCACTTCAAAACACTAAACACAGGCAGGCAAAGGGTACAGTTTTTTTAAACCAAATTCTCAATAGTCTAAAGCAAGTTGTTGAATAAATCACTTTCTGTAAAACCTTTAAACTACCTACACATGACCACATTAGCATTTATCATACATTGTATTTATTGTGGTAAATTTTGACTAACTTGTTGTAGAATGTATGTGTCATAACCAATATCAACCTTGCATCATGGACCATTTTGCAAATGACCATTTTACAAACAAACAAACAAACAAACAAACAAACAAACAAACGAACGAACCTCACAAGAGAGCATCCCCTGAAACACAACTCTGTTGAAACAACTATCAAAATGGATGGTTTGAAATTGCAACATGATTGTTTTGAAAAATATATATAATTTCATAACTTATGATAGGATATAAAGTAGGAATGAGAGTAGTGTCTGTCGTCACTCGTCTCAGCAACTATTTGTTCATCATCTTCAGAAATAAGCAGGGTCTTGTGTCCATTCCTCACACTACAAACAAATAAACCGATCTGGCGCAACAGCTGCCAATGTACACTAGGTGGCGGTCATGTTCCAAAGGAGTGAGCGGCCATGAAACACGAAGAAGAAAAAGAACCCAATCAGCGACTCTTCTCAGTTTGAATGCGAGCGGTTTGGTAACGTTACTGTTCATTGTTTTTGTAATAGAATACTTTTTTGATTTTTTAATTAACGTTATAGGGTTATTAAGTAGTCTCGAGAAGGGATCTGCATGTCGATATCTTATCGAGGTAAACTCAGTTGTCAACATTGTCAGCGCTTTTTTATTTTTAAAATATGCGCATGGTTTCCTGTAACTTAACGTTAAGTTATAACGTTATTGTTTTTGTCCGTGTATTCAGTCTATTTCGTGTTTAGTGTTTTCGAGAATCGATAACAGTGACAGTTTTCATGTTTATTGTCTACTTGTTTTGGTTGTTAGTGTTTTTATTCATTTATTATTTTTATATTAGTATAACGTTACTAACTAACGTTATGTCAGGAGTTTTTTGTGTAACAATAAGCAGATTCATACACAATTATCTAGGGAATGTACAGAACAAATACATCTAAAAACATCTCTTGTAGGCAGTCAAATAATGCTATTTAAATGTTTTTGTGACAGTAAGAAATGTTAAATCACCTCCATCTGTAAAGATTATTGCCCAGAAACATCAAAAAATACCATAAAATACAAGATGCAAATATAGATTTTTCAGAGGTTATGGAATGGGAAAATTAAACATTATTAATGAAGTTTTACAAATGAAACACTTTGTTGTCTTCACAAGAATATGCTCATTAGCATGACAAAGGGGTTTCATTTAAAACCATGATCTTGAAGTCTTATCATTTGCTCTACTGTTTGAGTTACAGGTTCAAAAAAGAGTTATGTTGGTTCTCCATTCTTATATAATATTAATATTTTTAATTCTACACTCTAGTAAAGATCCAAGATGAACACAAGAGTAAAAAATGGGCCGGTGTTTATCAAGACATACAGTAAACGAATGCGTAAGGTGGAGCCTTGGTTCTCCCCTGACCTGAAGAAAGCAGCTTTCTCTTTTTCAAGCTCTCTTTCATCAGATCAGTCCATACCAGAGATGACACAACCCAAGAAACGGTAAAACATGCCTGCCCACTTATTCATTCTTATTTTTTTTTTTATAGTGAAGCTGTTATCCATGCCAGTTTATCATTCTTTTCTCTGTTCTAAGGAAAAAAAGAGAAACCGCCTCTCGCCCTGCTAAAAGCAAAGACATGACTGCCATAAAGGAGAACATGAGTGATGAGGAAAACTACTCACCAACCTCAGCATTCAGGTCAGGACTCACGACTGGGACAAAATGCCACACCAGTATATCTTACTCGCTTTGCGTGGAAAAAATGAAATGTCTTTCCTTACAGAGAATGTTATTTGACTGCAGTTGTCAACTTCCAATGATGTTTAATGAATTAGGCTAACATTGCAGAACTGCAAAATTCCATTCATTTACTTATACCTTTTTTGAAACATAGTTTTAATGTTCCTTGAATTTAACCCCTAATCTTATTTGGCTTATTTTGAAGATTTCTAAAACCCATTAAAAATGAACTCAACAGTTATCTTTTCCTTCACTGTTCTGTATGCCTGTTTCTCTGCAGAAAGAAGACAAATGCTAAACCAGTAAGGACTACAGCTGTGAGAAAGACTCAAACAAAAAAGAAGGCTAAAATATATGAGCGATTAATGCTCAGCAATAGCAGTGAAAATGATGAGTCCTTTACGACGAAGAAAGGCCATGCAGAAACATCTGCTGATAAATGTGCTGGGTAAGTTTTATTATACGTTTTTTAAATGAAATCAGAATGTCGTAACTGTTGCATGAGTCCGTGTCAGTGAAATGCTTTGTATCTCTGTAGTTCCAAGAAAGTGTTAGACCCTCCCCATTTGAGCAGGTTTGTCACTCACCGCAAAAGACCAGCACCACCCATGCGAACAAAGCAAATTGTAAGTAACATTATTTGTTTTTTTGTGTGTGTAACATGAGAAAATGTTGATGGATTGTCAATATCAAAATCGGTGTTCTTGCTTCTCCCCTTCTTCTCTTTTCACCTAGTCTGTTGCCGTTCACCGTACACTAAATTCTTCCGATGATTTCCTCCCTGTGTTCTCCCAAAACAAGCAGTTCTACAAGAAACAACATGACTCAGATAATCATGCTGCTAACAAGACCCGCAAACGCGCACAGAACCGTGCGGCTCTGGCTGAGGTCTCGTTCAATGATAGTGATGACCAGCAGCTTCCAAGTAAACGTCCCCTGCTGGCCAGCACTCCATCAGTGGTCTGCAGAAAGCTCAGGAACTTACCAGAGCCCTCCATCAGTGAGATATCCTCCCTTAGCTTTGATGAACTTCACCAAGAAGCTGGGTGTGGAGAGGCGGATCAGAGAAAAGGAGGATCTGAAGTAGAGGCCACGTCTGCACAGGCAACCAGAGCTTTTGGATGCGTGTTAACACCGCCACACCTAGAATCCTTAGTAGAGGACCTAAAAGAGAGGTGAGTAATGGCTGCTAATTTGCAAAAACATATTGTTGATTTATGAATGTTTATGAGAGATTTTTTACAAATGTTTTCATCACTAGTCAGAAGTTTTGATACTCACCCCCATGTCATCCAAGATGTCCATGTCATTCTTTCTTCAGTCGAAAAGAAATTAAGATTTTTGATGAAAACATTCCTTGATTTTTCTCCATATAATGCACTTCAGTGGGAACCAAACGGTTCAAGGTCCAAAAGACACTTTCAGTACAAACTGCAAACTGTTCAAAGGGTTTTAAACGATTCCAAACGATGAATAAGGATATTATCAAAATAAAAATAACAAAGTTTAAGTTTTATAAGCTGCGATGCAGGTTTGTGACTCTCCTATTCGAACTCGTTCATCAAAATGAAGTCAATTCGTTCGTTTCGTTCGTTGAATGAACCAAATGACTCGGAAAAAGATTTGATCATTTTGATGAACGAGTTCGAATAGGAGAGTCACAAACGTGCGTCACAGAACAGAGCAAGGTGAGCATTTGAGCGTTTAAAACTTTATTTATTTATTAGAGCGATCGTTTCGCTTGATTAGAGCATTATTCATTGTCTGGAATCGTTTAAAGCCCTTTGAATCGTTTGCAGTTTGTACTGAAAGTGTCTTTTGGACCTTGAACGGTTTGGTTCCCACTGAAGTGCATTATATGGAGAAAAATGCTTAATTTCTTCTCGACTGAAGAAAGAAAGACATAGACATCTTGGATGACATGGGGGTGAGTAAATTATCAGCAAAAGTTTTTTTTAAAAGTGAACTACTCCTTTAAGCGGTCCCTAGCAGTAATAATAATAACCTAATAATAAAGAATCATGAGTTCAAACGTTCAACTGCTAGTGTATGTAAAAATTGCCACATTTTTATTTGAGTAAAAAGTTCCAATTCATTTCTGTCTGTTGATATAGATGTCGCACAGTGGATGTAGACTTAGCGCTCAAAAGAATAGATGTCACAGACCATCTGTCGTCGCAAAGCTGCAGCAGGAAACAGGAAGAGAAGATTACCTCAAATCCTCCATGTTTGGAGTCCTCCAAAGCAAATAAACAGAACAGCCAAAACTATGTAACTGCTTCATCCAACTGCTCCTCCCTATCCAAACCGTCCCTCTATATCTCCTCTAAGTCTTTTAACACTTCTTCTTCAACTGAAGCAATTGGCTCAAATATGTCCCTTATTGAACGTCTTAAAGCTGAATGTCTGTTATCTTCCCTCACTGTCTGCATTCCCCGTCTTGACTTGGTTGCATATCCTTTTGTCCACCAGGGGGCAACAAAAGCTCCCTGCACTGACTCGCCATACATGCTCCCCATCAGTCGCAGGGAAACTGTCACCTCTCTATCTTTTAAGGGGACAGGGAATGATATCCCAAACAGTCCAATACATCACAGGTCTCCCAGTAATGCTGAAGTGGTTGTTCGACGCTTATCTGCATCGTTCCAACCACCTCCAGTCTCTCCACCTGCCGCTGCATGTCATAGCAAAAGACGACCGCCTGCTGTGCCTAAAGAACGCACAGGTGCTGGTACTGGGACTGGTCGTAAAGTTTGTGTGAGTGGACTGAATGTCAGCCGCTGGTCAAAAAGGGGTACTGGAGAGTTCAATGAAAAACGGAAGAAAAAGGAAGGACGAACAAAGGCTGTGTCAGGAGACTACAGTTCTGGGTGCAGCATGTTATCTGCTGGAGCAGACACCTTTTCAGCGGTCAGTTATTGTCAAGAATACATTACTGCGCTTATTATGCTATGCTATTTGCTTTTTATTAATTTTCACAAATTCTTTGAGAAGTAATTAAAACAGTTTATTTACGTATAATTGTCTTTCACTAGAATATAGTTCACAGCAATCCACTTTACAATTTACAATTTTTTTGTACTTAAACCATTTACTCGTAATATGTTCTTGCATCCCATCTGTAATTCAATTTGGAATTGCTTATTTCAATGAGGACTGTATTTTTAGTATTCACTTTTTTTTTTTTAAATATTAATTTAGTGTGATTACCATAATATTATGAATTGACTAAATCATTATGTTAAGCCTACAGACCCATAATATGTACCTGGAGCTTTATGCAATTTTTGTCAACTTACTTAATCTTATACGTCTCTTATCTTATTTTATGAATATTTATATGGGCATTATTATTATTATTACAATTTATTTATCCAAGACCAACATCTTACTACCCAAAAATATGTGCTACCTCTTTGAGATTCAGTGTTTTTATTATTATGTAGAATGCAAAGTGTGTGTGTGTGTGTGTGTGTGTGTGTTTACGGCCTCATATGGATATCTTCAGTTTGCATTTAGTAAATGAAATCAAAAGTATTTTTTACTTCCAATTCTCCAGGGTTATTTTTCAGGGGGAAGAAAAATGCCATTGTTTTGCAAAAACAATTAAATGTAACCAAATTTTTTAGCTGCTTGTCTTTTTTTTTTCTTTCTGTGCGTTCATGCAGGAAACAACATGTGGCTGGCTGCAGGGCACCAGTGGGATTGTTCTGGCTGTGACGCCTCTCAGAGTGTCACAAATGAATCTCTCCTCCATCCTGGCCAACTTCACTCCAGACACACTCACGACACACTCCTGGGGCCGACTAAAGGCAGCACTGTCTCTACATAAGAAGAAAACTGGTATGTTTACAGCAGACCACATAAAGCCAGTAGACACAAACAAAGGTCTTTGATTTATATATCAAACTGCCCAGAGTTTGCCTAATTGAGAATGGTACATGATGGTTGATTTTTAGTGCCACCTTTGTTCTGTTACCTCTCTCTTAAAATAACTTGAAAGCATGTAAAATGGCCTGAAGTTCTTTCCTAAAATGTTGTGTATAAATGTGTGTACTGCAGCAATTCCGACCCCACGGCGCTTGGGACAGTATCATCTGAAGTCCCCAGGATGTGGCTTTACAGCTGACACCACCAGTGTAGACATGTTTGCTTCCCCTCTGTTCACACCATCCAGAGTCACACCTTCACGCATGCTCCGGTCCACCATGAACACCCCCATGGTAAAGACACAGAGATATTTATATTCATTCCTTAACTCCAATGAACAGTTATGTAAATAAAGGTCTCCTTTAATTCAAGAAACTGTATTCCTAATAAATACATACAGTTTGCGTGCTTTATTCACATTTCAGAAATGCTGAAATAACTAGATTTAAAGTTATGCATTTGTCTCAAAATAGATTTGACTTTGGTTCATAATGCATAGTTTTCCACTATGGAAGCTTGTTTCCACCATGGAATAAAAAAAAGAATATTTTTTTCCTCTCATAATTGAGATATAATCCTGCAATTCTAAGAAAAAGTCAGATTTGTGAAAGAAAAAGTCATAGTTCTGCAAAAGAAGATATTTTGAATAATGTTGGTATGGTAACCAAACAGTTGATTGGGGCCCCATTGATTTTCCTATGAAAGTCAAGGGCCCGTCAACTGTCTGGTTACTGACATTCTTCAAAATATCATCTTTTGTGTTTAACAGAAGAAAGAAATTCATAAGTTTTAAACAAATTGAGGGTGAGTAAATGATGACAGAATTTTCATTTTGAAGTGTTACAAGTATAATAGAATATATTGTACGGTCTACAATATAATATCATTTTTTATGCTTTTTAATTTCTGTTACTTTCTTAGATAATTTATGCCTCTTTATTCCAGTTATTTCTCTATTACATCTAATCTCTGTGATGTCACTTTTCCTCTGCCTTTGTGTTCCAGACTTCATATGATGACATCAGCGATGCAGATAAAGTCTATCAGGAATGTCAACAGAATGGCCCAATATCCTTTAGCGACTGTATCCCTCCGGCTCGCATGAAACACTGTAACAAGATTGGCGAAGGGACATTTGGAGAGGTCTTCTCAACTATAAATGATTCCAATGAGACCGTTGCTCTCAAAGTATGTGCTCAATTTATCCTTATACAATTTCATTGTTGAAGCATACTTCATGCAAACGCATAATGTTTAAAATACAGTTTGAACTTCTGTGTATCTATATATGTAAATAGATGTTTAGTCACTGATTTGTAAGCAGAATTATTTCGTAAACATACAAAAATGACTAAAGTGATGTTTAAATGTAATTTCTATAGATCATCCCTGTAGAAGGCAGTCAGCAGGTCAATGGGGAACACCAGAAAACATTTTGTGAAATCCTTCATGAAATAATCATTTCCAAGTAAGATCTCTGGCATATCTCAACAAATATGTTACACATTTGAATGAATGGTGTTTAAATATTCAACACATCTTCAATGTTCCTACAGAGAGCTGAGCAGCCTTAACATAAAGGAGATTAACAAAACAGACGGTTTCATTGGGCTGAACAAGTATGCTTCTACCTTTTTTTTAATTTTATTATATAGCGTATAAATGTAAAATGAGGTGATTAAAAGTTTGAAGGACATTTTGTTTAGAAAGAAATAGTTTTTCAATAATTTTACCTTGGGTGAACGATTCGTTTACTTTGTAGTTTACATTGTGTCCGTGGATGTTATCCCGAAGCTCTGCTCAAAGCCTGGGATGAGTTTGACTGTCAGAAGGGATCAGAGAATGACAGACCTGGTAAGCTAAATGTGTAAACAATTTATGTCTTTAAATAGTTTTATATGTAGTGACCGTTAATGTATTGTTTCTGTTGGCACAGATTTCTTTGACGATGAGCAACTGTTTTTAATTTTGGAGTTTGAGTTTGGAGGGAGTGATCTAGAGAACATTAATGGAAAGGTACTTGCGCACAGGTTTCTATATTTATACAGGTTTGTCTGTTCCAGGTATTCTATAAAGCCTGAGTCCACTGAACATCTTTGTTGTGAATTCAGGCCCCTTCGCTTTAGTGACTGACCTTGCTGATACTTTTGTCATTGTATGGTTTAACATGAATTGATTTTGAGTTATTTCACCAAAAAATGTACATTGTGTTACTCGTATAACTTGCTTTAATTTTCGAAAAACAAATGAAGATATTTTTACTGAAACCACTGAAAGTCCATTCCACCAAAAGTTCAAAAAAAGATAATAAAAGAAGCGCAATAACTTTTGATCAACGCACATATGCAGAGCACATCAAATATGGTAAACTGAAGCTTAACCTTATTTGCTTAATGCACAAGAACAAACCTCATTGGATCTTGCTTAAGCTCAAGTGAGGCATGAAAACAAACCTCATTTGTTCTCGCACATCAGTAAAGCATAGTTGAGCTTCCTGTTATTTGATGTTTTTCTTCATGTCTCTTCTAGGGGTGTAACAATATGTCATGCCACAATATATTGCAATACAAAAATACAACAACACGTATCGTGGATGGTGACAATACGTATCGTAGCTAGTCCCCCTAAAATAAAAAATTACTGTGTGAGAAATTTTAAAAAATTTAGTGTAATTATTAAACTAATATATATTATGTTGAATGTAATGTATAATAATGCAATGGGGGAATATTTGTGGGTCCTGATAATGCCAAATGACTGATGTTACAAGTAAAAAGTGACATTATTTTAAATTTATCTAGTCAGTGAAAGAGTGGAAAAATATTCATCTAAAATAATTCTGTATTTTCAGCTTCAGAATCATAAATATTTTAGTCCAAGCCTATTCATTTAAACCCACAGTGTAATATCATATGTAGCATTTTGATCAACAGTACTTTTTTTTGTTTTTTTGTTAACCTTTTACCATATGTCTTGGAGTATCGCAATAATATTGTATTGTTAGTTCAGTATCGTATTATGTATCGAATCGTGACATGAGGTAGTCTCTCTTCGGAGGACTAGTTTACAATATCTTTATGAACTTTGTTCAAAAAAGTTTTGGTGGACTAGCATAAATTTCATTCTTTCATTAAAAAAATAATGAGATTTGTGTTTTGAAGAACAAGAAAATCTTACGGTTTGGAACGGCGCAAGGATAAGCAAACGATAACAATTTTCCTTTTTGGGTGAACTATCCCTTTAAGAACTACTCTAATATCTCAACTTGTTTATTAGAAGTGATTGTCCATATACTTTGAGCTATATTCTATCATTATGACAACTTAAAAGTTTGTTTGTGTGTACCATTGCAGTTAACCTCCATTGCCCAGGCCAAAAGTGTTCTTCACCAAGTCACCGCAGCTTTGGCAGTAGCTGAGCAAGCCCTGTGCTTTGAACACAGGTAACAAGTTTGAAGCTGAAATTTAAATGTAGATGCATACAAATTTATATTTGTATGTTGTCACTGTAAGCTGATTTAAGTGGTGTGCGCTGATGTTTCAGAGATCTTCATTGGGGGAACATCCTTG